ATTTTGATAATAAATAAATAAATAATAAATAAATAAATAATAAATAAATAAATATTTGAGGGGCTGCCAGAGAGAGGAGGGGAACAACCTATTTTCCAAGGCACCTGAAGGCCAGAGAAGGAATAATGGATGGAAACTGACCAAGGAGATATTCAACCTGGAAATAAGGAGAAATTTTCTGACAGTGAGAGCAGTCAACCCATGGAATCGTTTGTCTTTAGAAGTTGTGGCAGCTTCATCACTGGAGGCTTTCAAGAAGAGACTGGGCTGCCATCCACCAGAAATGGTGTAGGGTCTCCTGCTTGGGGGGGTGGACTAGATGACCTACAAAGTCCCTTCCAACTCTGTTAATCTGTTAAAGCTTTAAGTCTTGCCTATCCTCCTCTCATGAATAAACCTGGATCAGTTCTCCAAACCTAATAATTAGAACAATGAACTCAGCAGCCATTCCTGACTTCATAAGCAATTGCAAATAATGCTGGTGTCGGCCCTTCACAAGGAAGACCAGACTAGGAACCTAAAAGTTTGAACGTTGATGCTATTTTTTTGTCTGTGGAGATTCTCCAGGGTCATAGTTGTCTCACAGATACTTTTTTTCCAAGAGGCAACTGGACTTTCTTGATTTTTCCCTTGAAGTCATTTCACTTCTCATCCAAGAAGCTTCTTCAGTTCTTCTTGGATGAAAAGCCAAATGTTTTCAAGGAAAAAACTAAGAAAGTCCGGTTGCCTCTTGAAAAAGCACCTTTGACACAATCTGGATGACTTGAGTGTCTCCATAGACTCTTCCCCTCCTGCTGAAGATCCTTCCTAAGTAAAATGCCACAGTGGTTTGGCATCTGCTTGGGCCATAAATGTCCAATTGGAATGCAGAAGCTTTGACTGATGGAGGAAGAAACAGCCGGGGTGAAAAGTGAAACGGGTCCGGCAGCAAAGCATCAAAATAAATCTGATGTCAAACAATTCTTGGACTCGAAACCTCGCCTCCCAGGAATGTTTGGCGAGAAGCTGTCCAACCATTTCTTTCCATTTCCTCCCACCTCCCAAGCAGGGTTTCTTCCCTGAGTAATTGGCTGGAGAGGAACACACCTCTTTGGTTCATGATTATCTCACTTCCACATTGTTTTTGCCACCAACAGGAGCAGAGAGAGAGAGAGATAGAACTGAGCCAAAGAGGAACAAAGGCAGTGGGGTGGATTTATTTATTCAGTTGAGAACTGCAAAGGTCCATGATTTGGGGGTGACCGTTTTGCAGAGGGGTCATTGGCTAAGCATGTGGCAACGCTTGGGATATCTGCAGCCCAGTAGATTGCAGATATTGGATTCAAACCGAGGACATTCCTGGGTTGCTTAGATCAGCAGGAAGGCCGATCTGAAAAAAACTGACTGCTTGGCACAGTTTGGCTACTTAATGTGCAAGAGGAACCCTTCTCTGAGAGGTTCCCAATTTGGGGAATCCTCTCCTAACAAGGGGCTTTTGGCTTCCGCTCATCCGGGATTGGAGAAAAAGGCAAAAAATGCATCTCTACTGCCAATCTTTTTCATTTGTAAACCACAGGCTGTCCTTGACATACAACGGTTGGTTTAGTGTCCGTTTGAAGTTGTAATGGCACTGAACAAAAGTGACTTATGGCTGTTTTTCACAC